TTCAATACTATAATATTTGCGTTGACTGACAAAAGGTCTGCGAGACTTTGGTACTTTCGTATTTTCCGGCTTGAGGGATGACCCGCAGCAAGCATGACCAAAAACGGTAAGCTGTATTCTTCATTTTGTTTCTGAGACTAAGTATATCCAAGATCAAGGGCTGGAACTCATTGCTCGTATTGACTTTGAGTATGACGCTGACAATTAGTGCAAATCTTCTCTCGTCTGATCACCTGATTTCAAGAGGATTACTTGATTTCGTGGATCAGATATAAATTTCTTGGGACAAAGATAGGTGCAGTTTGGAGTATCGAGTTTTCTTACTCTACGCACTATCGTAATATCCAAAGTTTAACGCTTTTAGCCATCATGGCGCATCACCCATCGCTTTATGTAAAAGAAAGGAGTGGTTGTATACGACCATTAATGCATTTATAACTGATCGTATTACGTGTGCTTGCTAATTAACGGTGCTGGGCATAATATTGGTGATCTCCTACTGACAGCAGCATGGCTCAAAGATTTGTGGCATAGCGCATCTCCGTTGTACCCTATGCACTAACTCTCACCATTAGACTCACAAGCAGTCTCAGGCCGTGACACGCTATGCAGTGCTATGAGCAGCTAGTGTCTTTAAAGGAACACGAGAAATTCCAGGTAGCTAGTACAGGGAGTTGTTGGGGTAAGCTGGACGCATCTTGGTAGATTCCTGTACAAAGGCGGTTTCTTATCAATCAGGTGAGGCCACTCTGGGCGTACTATGAAAACAATCCGTGACTTAGTGAAGATGCCGTTGTTGAGGATCCCGTTTTCTATCCCAAACAATAAGCCCTGGTAACCAAGCTCTTGGCATTAAACTCTATTTATCCCGGCAACACGCATGTCACTGGGTAGGATGAATTACTTGCCACAGATGTTAATATTCTGGACCACTTCATGCTTTCAAAATATTACGGTGATCTGCAACAGCGCACACTATACGGATAAGGCTAGGAAATGTCCTCTTTTAGTGCAATTCATCGACTGCTTGCGTCAACAAAACTCATGGCAACGCGCCGGTGACATCCGAGCTTATATTAACACATGCACTTAAACACGAACCCCTGGACGGTTCTCCCGTCCCAGGAGCTATGCAGAAAAGTATAAAAATGTATAGAGAATCATCCGAAACGATTTACCAATCGCCGCCTCTCTTGAGTAGGGCGTCTATTCTTCTCGAAACACATCAGCATGGCACCGTTATTTTTCGCAGCAACCCTTCTGGGTCTAGCCACCGCCCAAACGATGGGGACCACACCTGAAGTGCATCCAAAGCTATCAACCTGGAAATGCACAAACGCTGGCGGATGCAAGATGCTAGACACTTCGATTGTTATCGATTCTTTGAGACACAAGGTCCACCCAAAATCTGATCCGAGTGCGACTTCGAGCTGCGGCGATCGAAATAACCCGCTCAACCTAACGGTGTGTCCGGACAAAGCGACATGCGCCCAAAATTGCGTCATCGAAGGCATTCAAGACTATTCGACACAAGCAGTCTTTACTGATGGTGGAAAGCTCCGTCTAGATATGTTCAACCCAAGCGGCGAGTATATGAGCCCTAGAGTGTACCTACTAGGCGAAGACAAAGAAAATTACGAGATGTTGCAATTGAATGGCCAAGAGTTTTCATTCGACGTTGACATGTCAAAGCTCCCATGTGGTATGAACAGCGCCTTGTATCTTAATGAGATGAAGGCCGATGGTGGACGCTCGAAATTGAACCCTACTGGTGCTAATATGGGGTGGGGATACTGTGATGCGCAGTGTTCTGTCAAGCCATTCCTAGATGGTGAAGTAAGTATGATTAAGTGACACAGTCCTGTCGAGCAATGGCTAACTTTCTGTAGGCTAACATCGATAAGGAAGGCGCATGCTGCAACGAAATGGACATTTGGGAGGCTAACGGTCGAGCAAACCAGATTGCGCCCCATGTGTGCGCCAAAGAAGGTGTGATTAGGTGCACTGGCGACGATTGCGGTGTAGCTGGTGTTTGTGGTAAGACTGGCTGTGGAGACAATGCTTACAACTTCCGAAACTCCAAGGATTTCTATGGCCCTGGTCTCAAAGTTGATACAACTAGGCCTTTTACTGTTGTCACTCAGTTCCCAGAGAAGTATGGTGTTCTCCAAGCTATTATTCGAAAATATGTTCAGGATGGTGTCGTTGTCGAGAACGCTATGTCAAACGTTACTATGGATCAAGCCTGGTGCTCGGCTCAGGCTCGTGCCAGGGAATACAACAAATTTGGCGGCCACAAGACTATGGGTGACGCTCTTGCTCGTGGCATGATCCTCACATTCAGTTTATGGTGGGACAAGAACGGAGGGATGCAGTGGCTTGATGGCGGGCTAAATGGACCTTGCAGCCCTGCTGAGGATTTTCCTGATGCTATTCAGCAGAAGGTGAAGAACCCTACTGTCACCTTTAGCCAAATTAAATGGGGTGAAATAGGCTCGACATTTGGAACGAACCAGACTTTACAGTCGTGGGCGACGTAGAGTGAGCACAGCACTAATTGTGCCAGCTACGGGGTGTTTTGGTAGCCGCCAAATATCATCCGACTCCCACGAGGTTCTGCAGTAGCACAGATGTTATGAATCAAATTGTCAATTGACCGAAGAGCAATGTTGCAGTGGAGAGGTGAATGAACGTGTTCCACCATAAACTGACAGACCAAAATCCAATGGGACTCTTCACACATCAATCACAACGAGTTTGTGTGAAGACCTCTTATATATATTTAAATTGGGTGTTCTTATTACATTTCGTTGTTAAAAAAAAGCTCTAAGTACCGTCTCTATACCATCGCAAGATTGTATTACATCTTGGAAATATTGTTACAAATGCGCCTTCACAGAACTGTACCACAATCAGAGACAATGTTTATCGGTCGTGAGTGGAAACTTATTGCAAAATGTGATATCGCCTAGTGTATCTCGTAAACTCATCAGCAAGGGTTCCAGCCCGAGATTATTATGTATACACCTGGAAATTGCACCATGCTGCAGACAGTTGGATTAGATAAAGTTTGCACGGTAAGGTCCTTACTATTCATCCTCTTACTAAGAACAATCAAATAGGATGTGGCGGAGTATACTTCTGAAGCTTCTCAATTCCTATTAAACTTAGTCCCATGTGCTAAAGGCGGAATCGTACTAGCTAGCATCTCCAAACTTATTTTCATTAGCCAGCACCTTGCCAGAAGATCTATGAGAATAAGTGAGCACATATGGCGGAAATCACATGGCGGATCTCGCTCAGGACTCCTTAACTAAGCTTATTGAGAGGTCAAACATGTATATAAATAGACCCAGTGACCCTTTGAGCAAAAACGTATTCTCTTATTGTAGCTGCACATACATATGACCATCACAGCATTGTTCGCTATCGCCAGCGCTAGCGCCTCTTTGGACTCACTACTCCGGCTATCAATTACGAGGCTCTTCTTGCAAACACCATCACAAAAAGAATCCTGACTATGCAATGCCATCATATATACAGATTGAGCTTTCTGTAAAGAGAAGAGATCCCACAATAGAGGGAAAGCATGCAAATCTAGCCAGTGCTTTGCTAATAAGTATCTTAGGGACAGATACATCTTATTATCGAAGGCTATGTCATGTCTATCTCTGATTCCCCTAAAGGCTATAAACGGGGCTTTGTGAGGCAAAAACCATAAGCGTGTCGAGCATGCCTGCGATTTTCATCAATGTTTAGGTCTCAAAGTCACTCACGACTATTATCAAGGCGTGGACCCTAATGCTATCGATATGGACTTATCTGCACTTACTATCACTTTATTAATGTAGCAAAGCTGACAGATGTAGGTTACACGCTGTTAATCGTAAGGTGCTCAGGCAAGTATTGTCACGGCGCTACGGAAAGTTATCACGTGCTAGTAACTGTCTGGGATAGCCAGTTCTGAATGAGAACAAGTTTCCCTACTATAGTAGCACTACTAAGAGGTGTCCAAGCACGCGACATATCATGAAACTGGGGGAATCATATTGATTAGTTCCAATAGAAATCAATTGTGAGATACTTGTCCTGTTCCTGGTTGTGCAATGCATCTTGACTTCCTGAGTTGCAGCTTCACTGTTCCCTACATCATCAGGCAGTAAGGCAGTACTCCCCATATATGCTTAATGTTGTTCAATGTTCAAGGTCTAACATACTGTGTATATCATGCAGGCTATAGTTGTCTCATACTGTAAGAACTTGTAGGAATATGTCCAATGAATTTTACACTCTTCCTGAGTTCAGTAGCTCTAAGGATATTGCGCATTTGTTGAGGAGTGTTGAGGATGGTCGAGCCGCCGCAGGCCTATAAAACCACCATTGATATGTGGAGGATTTGATTGCAGCACATTGGAGGCATGATCCACCGGACCACACAGGACGACGCAAGATTTCATCATCGAACAGCGTTTTTAATGCGCAATTTTCGCTGCATGAATCTAGCGTTCGTGGTGGAACAATGAACCGGTGCAACCAAAGTATGAGAACAAGCTGAGAGTGACCGGTCGCCTATGTCGTTAGTTTGCCAGCTTTCAGTTGGCGCCCGGTACAGTTGACTATTTTGGAATGATTGGTCCACCAGCCATGACCGGAAAGAGGCGGTAGAGCAACAACCTGATTACACATAATGTGCCACCGTTGATATTCCGCGCATGGTTACGAGTCACGTAGACACCTCTTTGAGATTATAACCGACCATGTGTGCCAGTCCTTAGAGCCCTCTAATTGCTAGGAAACGAAGTAAAAGTGCAATTTTCATGGAAGCGCTACATTGATGGTTGGTCCATAGATGATCTGCATGGTCTGGACCGGCCCAATCGTCAGGCGGCATACTCGAAAGATTTCTCTATGGCTGGAATATTGCTTACAGTTATATTTTTTCAAATTACTCTATGTTGCATCAGTCAAATAACCTTTGGTTGATCACCATTCAAAAAATAGCATCGGTGGTTTAGTGGTAAAATTAGCCGTTGCCATCTCTCCTCGAGAACAGTTTCGGCTAGCCCCGGGTTCGATTCCCGGCCGATGCATTTGTTTTTGCTCCCCTTACAGGACTGGGGAATTGTCTACCAGCTTCGATATATCGTGGTGCCTGGGGAGCAATCATGTCACGTGACTCAATGCTGTGACGACCTTTTTGCCCTCGCTATGAGGTTGAGTGCCTACTGAATTGGAAGTATTTTTGTGAGTCTTATTTTCCAGTCACAAAATACTATTGAAATGCGTGACGTGCTTTGAGTCGTGATTTCTGTAGGCATGTGTGTTATTTCTAGAACCGTGAACCAAATTACTCTTTGTGCTATTGCCGCAATGGATATTGCAAATGCATAGAGCTCATTCCAAGGTCTATGAATTTGTAGCCCACTTGTAAGTAGAACATAAACTCTAGGGTATTCAATATCTTGAACCGTAAATAGTCATCAGGTGTAGAAGTCTGAAATTTTTTTGCAACGTAGCAGAGTGAAAAGCCCCCAAACAGACAATTTCCAGTAGATTAGAGCATAACATACAGAATACAACAAGTCTCTTCTCTCTTTTCGCTGTTATCCAAGTTGTATTCCATTGTGCGCAAAAGTTGCGTAGCGAGCTTGATGCTTTGGCTGAGCATGAAATGAAGCCACATTTTCTACTCAACAACCAGTCCCAGACCTTTTTATAAAGAGTCACAACCATTAGTACTTATCCTGTTTCAAAATACTCGCCGCAGACTGAATTGGAGGAGTGAATGGTAGTATGTGATTATGTTGCTATTCCATATTCGGTTAGAGCGGTTTCGCGATAATCGAATGTCGAAATTCAGTTCATCCACCATTGACTGCCGACGACATCGACACAACCAAGCCCCACACCCAACACCCCGCCCTCTACCTACACATCAGTCAAAATGGAGAACGAACGCGGCGAGCTCGTTGACCGTAAGAGCCATCTTTCCCTCGCGCGGCGGCTGGCGGTGTTTTGCCCACAGCGCGGCTCCGCCAGCGCGCACACTGCACTCGCGAACCACCATCGCTAACTTGTTCACAGTCTACGTCCCCCGCAAATGCGTGAGTACCCGTCGGACAAATGAATGAATTGTCAGCAGCGATACTGACCCCTTCAAGTCGGCTACCGGACGCATCATCAGGGCCAAGGACCACGCCTCTGTCCAACTGAGCATCGGCAAGGTTGACGAGAACGGCCGCTACACCGGGGACAACCAGGTCTACGCCATCTCCGGCTTCGTTCGCGCCATGGGCGAGTCCGACGACAGCCTTAACAGACTCACACAAAAGGACGGCTTCCTCAAGTCTGTCTGGAGCGCGTCTCGTTAAGTAGTTGGGGACTACGGGTGGAGGTATGATATGTGGCGGTACCTTGGGGTACCCGATATGGAGATGACATCAGCTGACCGGAGCCAGGAATTCGGCATGTTAGATCTCTTTCGAAGATGGAGGTGTGCATTCTACGGCCAAGGCTTCATTTCCTTTTTCCGACGGACCAACGATGGCACGAGGAACGGGAACCGGTTGAGATGAGGGCCATCGAATTCATAAAACTCTGTTTACGATCAATGCAGCTATGAATCTCGTCGTTCTCGGTTGTGATATTGTCTCCGTGTTTGTCGTGTCATGCGATGAAAATAGTACTGACCTAAATGATCGTACTGTCTAGTGATGAAGCTAGGTATTGACGAATCCTTAATGACACGATGTGAACCTCATCCAACCGCATCTTGCATAGATCGGCTACACCAGCTGCTCGTTAGTAACTCACATTCTTGTTCTCACACTGGGCCATTATCGACAGCGGCATCCACACACACAAGCTCACACCCGACTTCAATGCGCAGCCTTGTTGACCAATCTGTGACCAACCATGTCACATAATCTGACCAACTCCGTCACCCATATCCTACTCATTACATAACTACACCATAGAGATACCGATTTGTAATTCCCCAGTAGAATGCACACGATGCACCGTTACGTGGCTCTGCGACATACATTTCCCTAACCATCAGATATCATCTGCGCCTCCCAGAGCCATCCGAAAGCTCGCACACATGTAGGTATCTGAGTGATGTTGCACCACAGAGGAATTACGCGAAGTAGTAAGCAGAGATCAGCAATGCGGCATTCCACCTGCTCATCCGTGTTGGCCAGTTCGAACCTTTTCTCTTCTCTCTCTCTCTCAAAAATAACCAAACAAAAATAACAAGAAGCAGCCTGACTACCCCACCACACCTCGCCTAAACGATAGCTCTGTCCATCTCCCTGTCCCCACCGTCATGTCCCCGCTCCTTAGGCCAAGCGTAAGCGCATGTATACACTTGCCACTTATGCAACTACATGCCTCATGCCGGGCAGCCGAGCGAGCGAGAGCTGTCGTGTAACGTTTGACGGGGCTAAAATTACCATGTAGAGAGAGAAGAGAGGGGTGAGGGGATGTGATCTAGACCTTTGTGTTACGTTCTGCAGCTAGAGAATGAGGGGGGACACGACGAGATGAAGGTCTTGAGAAGCCAATGGATTTGTGCAGGATAGTAGGAAAAAAAAGGTAGTTACATCTTTGATTTTTGTCCAATTTTTTTTAGAAACTTGTCACATAGTTTTGTAGCGATCATGTACATACTGCACCTGGCAATTCCCAAAATCTACAGCATGGATGAGACACGAAAGAAAAGAGGTGAAGGAGAGGGGGAGGGGGGAAGACAGATCTCGGTATAAACAGTCCAATCTTGCCCTCCTTTACTTAGTGCCCGCCCCATCCATGTTAGAGTCTAGTATACGTGGGTAATCAAGGTACCACGATACGAGAACTCGCAGATCAAACAAACTCAATTCAAGACCATACATGCATATACGGACCGATCAAACATTGTTCTTTCGCCTGCAAAAGTGTCCGAAAGAGAAGAAAGAAAAAATCAAGTTGAAAATGTATGTACAAGTACATGTAGTGGGTTTTCTCGAGATTACTGATATCGCAGCGAACAATGGGGTAGCGTAAGCGAAAAGGCGTTGAGGTTTTGTTGTGCGGGCGCTTGAGTAAAGAGGGGAGTGGGAGGGGAAAAGGGAAAAACGGGTGACACCTCCCCCTCCCCCCTTGTATAGGTGCAGTAAGCACACCGATCAATAGCAGGGCCGATGGCGCGCGATATCGGTATCTAGGTAGGAATGTGGAAGGAAGGGAGGGGAAGATGGCGGATAATGGGCATCGAAGACGGGAGATGTGCATATTTTATTGGAACTATTGAAAAGATAGTATTGTTGATTTGGATACATTTTGGGTGATGTAGTGATGGAGGTGTGCGAGGTTACAGTAAAGTTAGCCTAACGAATATGCGCCAAGTATTTCCTCTTTGTTCATTTCTTTGCTTTTATTGCGGTTGTTTTTGCTTTTTTTGATGTGTGGCGTACGAGCATGAATTGAATTGGTATTACGGCATGTAACTATCCATATGTCCATTCTCAAGTATGCTTTCCTGAGCACCAAGATGCCGCCAAGTGCCACAGACGCGGTATTTGGACTCCGCACATAACAACCGCACACACATGCTTCAAGTGCAAAAACCGCTTCATTGATATACATAGAGGGCCAGGGGCCGATATCGCCTTGTCAACACAGTACGCGACAGTGCGCGTAGCTCCTGTTCCGTTTTCCGAACTCGTTCTTGGGCACAGACAATGAATTGATTTTTTTCTCCGCACCTATCAGCAAGATTGGTCATTCCTTAGTCATTGCATAGTACATTGTGCATTGTCATCGTGTTGAATTGCGACTACATCAACGAATACGAGTGGCCTCATGTATGCTGCACAATGGATGAAATGAAGCATCGGTAGGGCTGCAGCAACGCTAGACGTAGTTGTGGTCCTTTGCTGTGACCAGGTTGGGATTAGCCGATGACATCAACCAGCCATGTTTCCAGATGCTCGAGAATATGTCTTCTAAAGGGCTCTACAATCGGCCGCAGGAAGTGGGCAGTCGCTTGTACCCATTTGCAAATTTTGGTGTGTCCGGTGGGTTAAAGTCCCGCAGCTGGAGCTGAGCAATCGATGAATCGCGGAGACCGTCTCTCTAGCTTCGTAATGGTATCACCTGTAGAATAAGCCCGGACAAGCATTACAGCGAACGCTGGCGGAAAGCCCAGCACCATCCGGTCGGCTACTAGAAACACGTGGCGGACCCACGCATACACACATACCCGGGGAAGCGGGCGCGTGCTGCATGCCTTGGCGCGCATACAGGCGGTGTGATTATGCATACTGCAGACAGCTTCGTGGAAGGTACTCTAGCATGGCAAAACTTGATGATGCACTTTTTAACTGGGATATGATGTCAGACCGCTCCCAGGATTTCCAGTAATAGCGCGGAAAAAATCGCTTCTTGTGGAGCGACGAGACCGCTGCATTCATGTACTAGGTAGTATGTAGAGGTAGCGGGCCTGAGCGAGAAACGGGCCGGCCAGTGTACTATGTACCACCGCTTGATTTCTGCCATTGGGCAAGGGTTGCGGCATTTAGATGATTCATGGTATATTCTACTATCTGCGCGTCGGCGTCGTGGTCCCGGAGCCGGAATGCTGAGGATGAGCTGGAATGGTATCGAGAGCCGCATTCCGGACTGCCGAGACGGCTTTACTCTCTTTTACCTTCCAATCATCACCTTTGCGTACCAGTTTAGATCGGTCCTTTTCTGCCTTCTTGAGCAGCATTTCTTCAATCTTTGCGTCTCGCCGAGTGCCCTGGACGCAATCACAGAGACAACCTTCGGTTGGGCATGCACCTTCTGATAAAACTGGGTCTGCAAACCATGTCGAAAGACAATTCGCGTGTCCACCGTGTCCACAAAGCGGACACCACGTCCACAACGTGGCCGTAGGCGCAGACCACTCTGTCGGGACAGACGGTGATGGCCCGACAGCATCACGATCGTCCCCAAGGTTTTGGCCCGAAGTCAGAGACGATCGCTGCCGCTTATGTCCTCTGTCCTTCAGATTAGAACGAAACTTTGACTTGGCCTTTTTTGCTGTAAGCGGCTCAAAGGCCGGATACTTGGCCCAGCAAATTGGGCATGGCGCCTGTGTTCGCTTACACGACTCACATCGCATCTTGTCTTTGGGATTGTTGATTGGTGACTTGCAGCTGAGGCACAGTAATCCGAGTTGTGTTTCTTTGAGCGCTTGTTCGTACACGGCGGGATAGGCGGGATAGGCCAGCCTGCGTAGCATAGCCGCAGAGTTGAACAATGATAACGAGTGCAGTTGTGAGTGGTAGGTATGAAGAATAGACTCTGCTTGATAAGGATTGATCCCTGTGGCTATAAGCTGACTCAACTGTGTCGAGAGAATGGCCTTTGCCTGTGCTGGACTGAGCCCAAGAGCCACAAAGGTATCTGCAAAGGCGTTAAGCACATCGCCTACGTTTGTACCGGGGTCATCTGTTGGGCTTTGTGTCTGCGGAAGGAGTGATTGGAGAAGGAGAAGCAAAATCGAAGGAAACTGCGCATCCGACGCTTTTGTATGATATGCAAGAATGCTGTTAAGCAAGCCGATCACGGAATATGGTGATGCTGCTTCTGCATCAACATGCATGGCCGTGAAGTCGGACAGTAACAAGCCATCCTCTGTGGTTGGATCCATGACTGGGGGCGCACTTCCAGATGCATGTGGCAAATTCGGCGGCGGCTTTGGGGCATGAGGCGATCGCATGTCATCCACATCAGGCACAATTGTCCCACTTGCCTCCATGTCTATGTTGTAGTCATAGGAGGATGAATATATGCTGGTGAGTGCCTCGGAATCTGAACTGTCCTGACGAAGCAGTTGATTGTTTCGTCGCAGATTCTCCATGTCACGAACGGCCGTTTCCCCGTTGTCAGGTTGATCAGCATCATGGTTCGTTCCTTTGCTTGCGGGGCCTTCGGTATGCTGTCGATTCAGAGAACCGTTTCCACCAATAGGAATGGTGGTTGGAGATATCGGCACGCTTTTACCTAGATCTTCGTCTTTAGAGTTTCTAGGCTTTCCAAAGCTAGAGTGTTCCGGAACAGCGTCCCAGTCCTCTGATGACAGCTTTTCCCGGTTGGATTGTGAGTTACCGCTTGCAAATGAACTAGGCATTGAGTTTCCCTTTTGGGAATCCGAAGAGGCCGAGAACATGGTAAAACTTTCTCCAGAGTCATGCCGCTCTATTGAACGAGGTGCATTGATGTTCATACCTTGCACGCTGCTTGGCGTGAGACTTAGAGGAATTCGAGGCGATGCTCTGTAGCTGCCACTCAAGGCGCGACGCTCGTCAAGGCCATCACCTGAGTGGTACCACTGGGGGCTGCTGAACGTTTTATGTGGAGGCGCAAGTGCACTACTTGTCTGAGTAGGCGTTGCAGTGACTGCTGGTGGTAGTTGAACCATGTCCTCTTTATCAATGTCAAGAAGGTCAGGCCTTTTTGTGTCATTACCGAAGCCGGTCCTCACTGGACGAGCAAGAGGTGTTGATATATTGGAGGTGCTCTCTATTGTCGTGGTGGGTGGTCTGGGTGGCGGTGCTGGTTTCTCCAAGGTACCGAGAATAGCGCGCACGGCAGGATTTACGGACGCTGCCGCTGCCAGTCGCTTGTCATGGGCTTCCATGGGCGCAGACGACGGCTCGAGCATTTTGTTGGATAGCCGCAGCGCGGGAATATGCGGGTGCAACCTTCTTTGCTGTCTATGTAACTCTGCTCGGCGCCGTGTCGCTACGGCAATGGATGCTCCCATGATCCTCCACGACTGAGCGAGCCGGTACATTGCTGCACGCTGTGCATATTCGGCATTCTGCTCAAAGACTCTTTCCACTCGCAGAAAAGAGTCGAGATCGGGAGGGTCAGGCAGGGCTATGTTTTTGTATTTTTGAGCCAGATAGGCAAAGATCTGGGTATTGGTTGTACCAGGCAAGTGACCTCGAATGGCAGTCTGATTTGGCTTGTGGGAATCGCTGTGCATAACCATCGAGTCACTCAAGAGCATGACCTTTGGGCCAACGTCAGAAGGTGGAGTTGTACTAAATGACTTGGTCGACCTGTTACTAGCAGCGCGCACATGATGACGCTTCATGGCAGAGGCAAGAAAGCTGTCATCCAGGCTATCATCTGCTGAGTTTCGAAGACTTGCCTTTGCAGAGCTATGATGTCTATCACGGGTTTCGCCAAGGTAGGCGTCATCCACGTAGGCTAGACCCGCAGAGGAGCGCGGGTGTGACCTCTTCTGGGCGACTGCGCCAATCTCGCCGGTAGGTGATATGGCAAAGGCCTGCAGGTTGCGACGATCAATAGTTTTTGGGGCATGGTGGACATCATTTTGCTGGAAGATGCCTTCTTTGCCAACAGTCCATAGTGTGTCACGCGAGTGCCAAAGCATATCAGATGGGGCAGTGGAGAAACAACTGATGTCCCGAAAGGGCAAGAAGGGGCGGCGAAAGTCCCAGACATGGATGGCTGGATGTTCGCGGTCATATGATGTGGCAATTTGTGTGCACTGATAGACGCCTTTGTCGTCGTGGTCATTGGACGACCAAGATGGTGGGCGCCAGCGCGCCTTGTAGATGGGAAAGGGTGTGTGCAGAACATGGGCGGCTTTCTGGCGGCGGCCAGTAATGGAGAAGTCCCAGACCTTGACGGTGCGGTCGACGCCGGCGCTGAGGAGATGCTTACCGTCTGGATGCCAGTCGATGGAGGTGCAGATGCGCTGGTCGTGGGCAGTGATTTTCTGCTTGGGGCTCTTGGTATAGCGAAAGTCCCAGCGCTGGATGGTGCCGTTGTCTGTGCCAAAGGCGAATTCTACAGCGTCCGTCGGGGACCATTGGACATCACGGATGCCGCCATTCATGCCATGGTACTGGTCTCTGCTGGGACAGATGGTGGCGTCCCTGCGCATGTCGCGCAAGTCCCACAGGCGGACGGTGGAGTCATGGCTTGCGGAGAGTAACAGGTGCCCCTGGTGGGGGTTGAATGCAAGCTTGTGTACCTGACGGGTGTGCTCATGCAGGC